TTTTTTTCAATCTTTCCTGTGGTGACATGTCACCAGCGCCGGAAGCGCATACATTTTGGAGTCCACCGACGATCGATCCACCGCGTCCGCCATAGGCTACAGACCCCTGCAACGAACCATTGCTTGAGGAAGCGGTGCCCCATGGTCTGGAGAAATTAGTTGGGATTCTGTGAAATTCTTCGCACCAGCTGGAGATACGGAACATACACCAATACATAATATAGGCTTTCGGTGTACCATGGATCCACGATCGCTTTAAGCAACAGGAGCGAAGGATTTTTGACTTGGACCTGTTTTTGCCTGTCAGGTCTAGTCGTCATTTGATGTCTTTGATTCTCCAATAATTTTGCCCAGATCCACAAGTGACTGCATGGAGGAGCCTAACTAGCGTGGGACCTAAGGCGGAGTTTACGCCCCCATCTCTTACTAACTGGCCCCAAATAACCTTTCCGCTGCTTTCCACGCCATAATTACTTGGACGGCAGCTTGGTTCATTTGAAGAGAGCTTCTTTCCACCGAACAAAGCCTTTCGAATCATAGCAATTCTCAATACCATGGGCAGCGAGCATGACGACCAGCAGAGCAATGATCAACCCAACCCGGCCCTGACAGCTAAACTGGGGGCGCGCAAGAAGATCCGCCCCACTTATTCATGCTTAAACTGCCACAAACGCAAAGTCAAGGTAATTTCCACTCCTGTACGGGTTTCTTGGTGGCTTTCGCTGGGTGGCCGTTGCGATTAAAAGCGCAGCATCCCTATTGGGCTGACACTCTCTGATGTTTCGACTAATAAGATCTAATCGATTCTGTAGTGCGACCGGGTAAAACCATGCGGTGCTTGCTGCCTTCGGGGAACGCCCTCGGAGTGTGAATATGGCACCAGCAAAAAGGACCGACACTATATCGAACAATCCGCCCTGATCGAGAACCTCATGCAAACATGCGAGAGCCTCAAGCGGCAGCTCGCAGAGGCCCGGCAATTGGCCAACTTACCCCCCGTAAAAGCTGAAGACACTGGCAGTAGCTCTTTATATCAAATTAAACCCAATGACAGCGACGATGGTGAAGGACAAGATGACCAGAGAGCGCATCCCGGACAGGCACGGCACGACACACGATATTCTCCCGACCCTTCAGGGGTGAGTACAGGGGATTGTACTGGGTCGCAGAGAGAATGTATGTACCCTTGATTCCGAATCATAACCGTAATACTCGACCGCCACGGCTTCATCCTGATTGGTCTTCCTATGTCGTTCCATCAGTATTAATCCTACTTCTCTATATAAAGCTTCCCCTACGTCACTATCGCGCCAAAAAGCGATCTTAAACGATCCGAACCTCGCCTCCACCGTGATGGAATTGTTTGTCGACCGACTGATACGTAATTTCAGTCCCGACGACCACCGGAAATACGGCGGCACCATCGCCTTACGGGAAGCATCGGAGATGCGCATGATTTCACCCATGCTGTGCAACGCCTTTGAGGCGACAGCGCTTACCTTTGCCGGTCGGCGTGACGGTAACCGGTCAGTCGAGTTAGCGGGACACGCCAAATACGTCCGAACGCTCCGGCAACTCCAAGCTGCCCTCTATGACGCAGAGGGGAACAAGTCGACCGAGGTCCTCGTAGTTGTGTTGTTGTCGACTATCACGGAGGTAAGTTACGGCCATTGTGTCTGATTCCATTTGACTGATGTTCTTTCCCAGGCCTTCAAGCAAACGTCAAAAGACTCTATTTTCAGACACCAGCTGGGCGGCTTAGAGCTTCTACGGACACGGTCAGCTTATCGACATCGCTACGGAATTGAACGCTCTTTGTTCGTCGATCTTCGGCTGTACTGGGTATGACGGCAGATCGTGCTACAATTGCTAGAGACTAATATTGGTCATCCAGGTCACGGCAGCACTGGTTCATCGCAAACCGAGTTTCCTCGCGTCCAAGGATTGGTTGACTGTTCCCTGGGCGGGCGATGCACCGGTCAAGGATATTCTGCAACATCTCCTGGACGTTGCTGTCGACATTCCCGGTTATCTTTCCCGGATCGATGAATTCGGCGCCATGGTAGACAAAGCCGCTGCATGTCCATTTGAGCTCACAGGGATGCATAGCTCCATCTGCCAGCAAGCAACCAGCCTCCAGACGCGTCTCAATATGTGGAAAGCTGCATACGCCGACACGTATTCCCTGGGCACGGCATGGGAAGTGCACGACACCGAGTCTACCGACGGCTTTCCTGTCTTCCGATGTCGTAACACCAGCACCATGTCTGTCACGGTCGCCAAGATCTTGTACTATCCCGACATTCTCCTGGCGACCTCGATGTGTTTCTACTGGGCATTGTCACTAGTTGTCTCGGCCTCGGATAGCGGCTTCGTCAGCGTGCTCGGCCCGCAACAGCGGTACCAATTTGCATGCGACATCTGTCGCAGCATGAAATATTACATCAATAACATCCCGGGGTATCTGATGTCCCGGATCATGTTCGTTCTGCGCACGGCGTTCGACGCGTTTTCGCCGGGAATGATCGAGAAGGAGTTCATCGCGGAATTATTTCAGTATATCGGGCGCAAATTGGAGTTTCCGGTGTTTTCGAACAAGTGCACATCGTCGGCGGTTAAGAGCGAATCTACATGACATTTCATCCGTTTTTTCCCTCGTTTTCAATGTGCTCCGAGTTACGGTCTTTATGAATGACGAATGTTCGCAATCACAGGTGGCGCATGCAGGTGGGCAATTGGTTACGGTGTTTCGGAGAGTAACACATGTCAATGTCAATTTTCATAGCATATTGATCTATATTGATCTATACCATGACTATAGCATAGCACAAGCTATTCAATATATACAAGACACCAATGATGTCCAAGTTCGGGCCCGGCCCCATAACGGAGCCAACGGAGTAGTAATTGAAAATACGACGGAGATATCGCCGACCGACGGCGGGGCCGTCGGCCACCACAACCGATCTCTCAACTCGTCTTGCCTGAGCACATCCATCCATCCATCCATCCATCCATTCCAGCCGGAGACATAGAATCATTCCTTTCAAAAGACGATACAATCACCATCCATCGGAGACAGGAATAGAAATAGAAGACAAGAAGTAAATTGTCTCGGCCAAGCTCCGAACAACGCAACACACCACAACAGCACACAAATGCACCACAGGATAGCGTCCCCGTAAGCGTCACGTAGCGTAGCGCACATAGCGGCATAGCGTACGGAGTAGTAGCTAGTTAGCGGATAGTGCATACCAAAAAACCACCACGGGAAATTTAAATTAAATCAAAAATAAAAATCCCCGAGGTAATAGTAGTAGTAGCAGTAGTATATATGTATGTATGTATGGCATGATTTGATTTAATTTTGATTTAGTTTTCCCGATTAAACAAATATGGCAATCGGTGTTGACCCCCTCAGGAGCCTCAACTACCAACACTCACAAACGCCTCCCCCATAACCCCAGCCAGCGGATCAGGACAAATTGTAAATCCGCCGGATGGGTCAACCGGTAACCAGTTTGAGGTGAAGCGTGTACTGCCATCGGGCATTTCCAGGGGTGTGAATATTTCTTGTTCTTGTTCTTGTTCTTGTTCTTGTTCTTGTTCTTGTTCCTGTTCCTGTTCTTGGAACTGAGATTGTGTTGGAGATTGAGATTGAGATCGAGATCGAGATTGGAGTTGTAATTGAGATTGGGGCTGTGATTGAACGGAAGAACGTCGGCGTTTCGGGTTGTTCCCACTAGGAGGAGTAGAATGACTCGGGTAGAAGGCGATTTGTTGGTTGTGGTTGTGGTTGTGGTAATGATCCAGTTGTTCCTCGGTCAAAACGCCGAGCTCCCCGCCACCACCACCCGATTGTGAATGTCTTGTGGAATTATTGTATGTGTGGTGGTTATGGTGGATCCCCGAGTCTAGGTCTATTTCGGTTGATACTTTCCGTTTTCTGGATTTGGAATCGAGATTGTAATTATAATTGTAAATTGGAGTTTGAGGAGGGGGTGTCCGCGGTCCGAAGGAGATACTATCAGTATCGCTATTGGAAATTGAGTCGGGGTTGTGGGAGCTCGTTGGTGAGGTTGGCGAGGGGGACGAAGGGGAGTAGATTTGGTGGGGACTTGTCGGGGTGGTGGGTGTGGTCATGTACAGGGCTCGTTGCGTGGCTTGGTAGGAGGTTGAGAGGAGGAGTGTGTTTAGTGTTGTTGTTGTTGTTGTTGTTGTTGTTGTTGTTGTAGTATTTTGGTCTTGGGGGTGACTTGTTTCCTGTTAGTTTTTTTTACCGTACTCTTACTTCTGGAATTGTGGAGGAACTATGTATGGGTATGGGTATGGGTGTAGAAGATGCAATGAAATGGAGAATAGAATGAGAATTAGAACAAGAGTTCCAAATCTCATCCAACACCCCCAAATCACCCACACCACCAACACCACCAAACACACCCCAGAAATAGAAAACAAAATAGAAGAGGAAAAAAAAAGACATACCTAACTTCCCCCTCCCCCTCAAACAATCCCAACCCCATCCCTCCCAACTCCACCAAATCCACCGGATAATTTAACCCAAAGTCATTCGGCACGGGGAAAACACCCGAACTCGAACATTTTCCCGGCATGCCTAAGTGGTCCAAGTCCCAATGCTGCTGCGCTTGGGACTCGAGCATGCCCGGTGCGTATACGTCATTGAAGTCAAGGTCGAGGTCGAGGTCGAAATCCGTGAAAGGGATTTCGTTTGGATATGGAGGGAGGGTTGTGAAGAGATTGGTGTGGTCGTGAGTGGTTGTCATTTTGTTTGCGTTCTGGTGGGTTTTAGTGTATATAGCTAGCTTTGTGAGGTGTAGTTTTCGCTGTGTGTCGTTTTCGGGGGGGTAGCTTTGTGAGGAGGCCTTCGGGATCGATTTGAGGGTATAGAGTAAATGAGAGAGTAGAATCAGTGAGTGAATGAGCTCATTCAATAGAATTATCGATTCATCGTATATAGGTTCGTAGATAGATAAGTAGTTTGGTAGATCTGAAGCTATGCGATAGCAACAATCCAGCTTCAACAACTCCACAGATCTAGCTGTAGATATAATATAGATATAAATATAGATAAAAGTATAGGTATACAACCATCAATTCAATAAACCAAATCAACCCCCAGTCCGGCGGGGGGGGGGGGGAATAGCACACTTATACCAACTCATCCCCAAGCTCAGACCCTGACCCCGTCATCCCATTCTCCGAAATTAGTAAATAGTTACCTACGAAGTATAGACCCATCGGCAAAATACAACCCCATATCCAGCCCGTTTAATTTCAAGTGTTACCAAAGAAAAAAAAAAAGGGAAAGAAAAGAAAAGGGACCAAAAAAAAAAAAAAAAACCATGCCGATCAGCTGGCCACATGGTTATGTCACTGTGTGAATCTAGCTTCCTGGTAATGAATGGTAAAATAATTCTGAAACTGTGACTAAATTCCCCGGGAAGCTTGCAAATTTAACCGATATTTTGAGTTTGGATTTTGGGTTTTTGGTTCTGTTTCCCCGGATTTTTCATTTCGAGAGTCAGTGTTCCTGGTCGGTTATTTGGAGGTTTAGGCCGTATTAACCGAAGCCGAGTTTGGAACTTTTTGATGTCGGCCCGTGCTGGGATTGCGGACTGGACTTGCGGAGGAGCGGAATCTGGGGTAGACACTTTACTTTACTTACTTCCTTCTTGGAATTTAGGATTTGGTACTTGGGGGGATTGGAGGGATGTGGTGTATTGCATGATGTATAGGGTTTGGGAATGAGGCTGGGGTTATTATTATCATACCTTGGTTTATTTCTTTTGATTTTGTACCGGACTGTTGTACTCTTAGGGATTTGAGGCTTTAGTGATAACATACAAATAAATACTCTATACACATTGTACAAGTACAAGTACATAATACAAATCCTACATCTGACCTCTACCTGACAACTGACAATAGAATACGGAGTAGATAATCAACAATGGCTAAACATCGGAGAAAAGGAAACAATAACCTCACAGCTAGCTCGTGATAATCAACATCACACATCATACATCAGATGATATTTCCCCAATGGGGAAATAGATCCAACTGGTCGACCACAGACTTGGTGCCTGACGGTCATTGCAACAACTAATGAAGATCGCTACTTCTACCGGTCGGTTCCTTAATTCGATCTTTCGAGAGAGATCTACTGGTGGAGATATCGATTCTGATCTTGCTTTTTTAATCTTACCTATTTTACTTTCTTTTACCTCCGGTATTTACCTATTGTATTTAACCGAGCACGTGGAGTTGGGGTCTCGGGCTGGGTTCTGGGGTTGGGTAACCGTTGGTACTTAGCTAATATTAACCGAATGTGAAAGAGTTGGTGGTTATCCGCTTTTGAAGAGTTGTCGCTTCTAAGAGTTGTTATTCTTCAAAGTTGTCACTCCTGTAAAGCTGGTGAGATATGGGGATATCGAGTGTATACTGCTTCGCTTCTTATGGTCTATTCTCAGATGAATGAATGGATGTGGACAAAGATAATCTCGGTATAGACTTCATTATATCAATCATACTACACATACATATACAGACGTCAATATACGCAACATCGTTATCAATATATACATCCCCAGCATAGCACGGAATTCGGTAGAACGCGTCTAGCTTGAACACCCTAGCTGAACACCCGCGCATACGCGGTATGACGACAGACCGAGCTGCATGTCTACTATGTTATCCCAACTAGGTCCACTAGCACCCTCCTGCAGCAGGAGCTGGGTCAGATCCTGCACACTGATAGGCCCGGTAACAGAGCCGAGAACCCTATCGACATTGGCATGCACACAAGCCCTAATTTTACAAGGCTAGTCCGGTTCCCTTTCGTGTCCATCGGTAGAGGGCTAACACAGCCTTCCGCCGGTGCCGGATTTCGCTATGATTGACAGGGCGCCCGCGCGCCTGAGCAACGGCACTGCGCATCACTTGCCGGAAGTTGCGCTGATACTCGGTGTTGAGCGTCACGACGCATGATTCAGTCGCACGGATCATCACCTCACATGCGTTCAGAATACCTTCGCCCGCTTCCTTCTGCAGGCGTTCGACGATCAGGAGCAGCAAAAAGCTGCCTTGCAATAACTGGATGCCGAAGAAATACGGCATAAAGCTAATATCAGGATCGAACCGGAGGATCTGGTCCACCGAGTCGGCTGCGTCTAACGCATGGGAAATTGTAGAGGCAAATGCAGGGGACGACGTCCAGAAATCTTTGTCTTCGATCAAAGAGACTGGGTCCCATTTACCCACAAGTAGAATATGCAGAACGTGCACCAGGTACGACGCATAGGAGATCACCGTTTGGGTATGCCAGGAATATGCTTGGGTGAGGGCGGGATCAACTCCATTATCCGGCTTGGGCGGCGGATATGCATACGAAAGTGGGGCCTCGGGATCCGAGGCAGTGGCCGCAAAAGCCGTCAGGCTGGCTTTGTACATCTCCAGCTGTCGCAGGACTTCATTGACATGGACATCCCACGCATCTTTCCCACTCAGTCGCACTCCGAGCATCGGATGATTGCGGGACTGATTTAAGTCAATCAGCTCTCCCGTAATGGTCATAAGTGGCAGAAAAAAGCCGAAAATAGAGTGGTCGTGGCAGATGAAATTCGGGAAAACGCGACGTTTATTTTTGTCGCCAGACAGTAAACACTGTGGCCCGTCGGGTCGAGGACTATTACTATGGATATTCCCCAACTGCCAGGACCCTTCGTCCAAAGGCAACAGTAGATCTTCGCTTTCCGCGTCCAGTAATGCCAATGGCCGGTTGTAGCACAACGCCAGATGACGATCCATGATATACAATAACCACCACGCCCGACGACGCTCCTCTCGGTGCTCTTCGGTGATTGTGTTCTGCATATCATGGCGATCACAGACACAATTCAAGCTCGGTCGGGTCGGATTCGAGTAGTCAAAAAAGGGTCTGGTGTCCACACCATTCCAGCCCGGTAACGCATAATCGAACGATGGGCTCGACCCTTCGGTTTGAGTATCCACATTCGGTAACACCTCGATCTCCTGATTTAGCTTGAGCTCACGTGCTAGGGTAAACGCCGCATGCCACCATCGCATGCTGGCCGCTTTCTGCTCACTCGATGAGATGATGGACGCTACATGGATATAGGTGATCACATCATCCAGTGACCCCGCCGGTCCCACCAGGCCCCGATCATCGCCGCCCCCTTCAAACGGATGATGGACCGTGGTCGGGGGCAATTCCTGGCCCACCGGCTCACTCAGCGATGCACCCTGGTCTTTGAAGGACACATGAATCAACGGTCTCAGTAAACGGATCGTGAGTGCGCAAAGAAACTGGCAGATGTTCTTCCGCTGCTGCGGCGAAATCGACAAGGCAAAAGCCCGGTCATCCAGCGCCGCCACCCATAACATACTAGCTAACAGTGCCGGTGTGCTGGGGCGAGGCGCATCGCGACTAAGGAAAGAGGCTTTGCGCAATATATAGGAATGGATATGATGGCACACCGGATGCATATGGGTCGAAAAGGCACTGGTAAAATACAGTTCGAGTAAATCGAAAACCAGCCTCCGGGGCAGGTTCGCATCCAAAAACGGCATCAACGGCTGCAAGACCGGATATTTCAGTGAGGCCGGAGGGACTCCCGGCGTTTGGCCCACCCCCGGCACTTTCGCTCCTTGCGGCGTGGGACCGCTATTGTTGGACAAATCCACCCCGCTCCATACATCAAACATTCGGGGGAAAGGTCCCTCCCCCAACCCTCCGCCCAAGAAATCATATGAGCCCGGAGACACATGTGCTGCTGCCAACCATTCTTCCGTCACATTGCCCCCTGGTGCCAGCTTTCGTGGGGGCAATGGCGGCTCCACTTGCGAACGTCGCTCATCGACACTCGGCGCGGAGGCCGTCATCTCGTTCGTCCCCGGTGACCGGTGCGGAAAACTGGATGATGGAGAGCCATTCGGTGCCGGCGTTGCAACCGCATCCGCCGTTGAGGGTGCGGGGACACGTCCATTCGAAAGCGCAGCGGATAGCTTTTCATTCCCGCCATTTGTGTTGGTCTGCTTCGATCGCGCAATACGACCTCGTTTTCGACGTTCACGGGTGAATTCACAATGAATATCACTGCGGAGGCAGCGCGAACAGGGAAAGGCCCGGTCGCATCGCACGCGCCGTGCGTGGCAGGCATCGCAGGCGATGCGGTTACGTCTCCATTTCCGCTTGGCGCTGCTATTTTGCGGATCATCGGTTGTCTCTTGTGTATTGCCTTGCGGCGCATCCCCCGACTGGGCTGGGTCCATGTCAGGTAGACATTGGCGGTGATCGGTGGATTGAAAGAGAAGAGGAGATTCTTCTGAGTGAGGAGTTAGCATGAGCCAAGACCTGGGGCAAATGAAAAGGTACAAGAAACGGCCGGGACTGGTGCCGGACAAGAAGAGGTCCAAACGGAAGGGAAACAAAAAAGAGGTCAGGTATATAAGTATAGCATGGATCTGGAGACTAGAATTAGAAAAGATAAAAAGATAATCATAAATAAGAAAAAAAAATGTATTGTAAAAATACATCCAAGTAAAAATTAAAATAAAAATTAAAAAACACAAACATGACCCTAGCAAGAACAGGGGCCAAAAGTCGGACGAAGCTGCGGATGCAGGAATAATCAATCGCGGGGAAGAAATTGAAGGGGACTGGAGTCACTGGACAAACAGTCACTGGACAGCAGTCACTGGACCGTCTCCGCACGCGCTCCAGAAGCCCTTGGGGGGAAACTTCTCCGTCCGTCTTTTTCTTCGATGGTCCACTTTGGACCTCGGCGAATTTAAATTGATTGGTCCTTCATCCAAGACATTTTAGTCTTCGCGTTACGAATCTTTCACTTCACCACTTTTGAAGAAAAGTCTATTCTTCTTAATTGACCACCGTTAATATTCCTCTTCAGCTACCGGTTAACTACTAATCTTGTTTTCTTTTAGGCAATCGGTGAACCCACGGTTCAAGAATATCGGGTAACGGTTCTTCCTAGAGACTTGCGACTAGTGATACTACTCGGAGTATAATAAAGTAGGTGCCGACGTGTCCCGCATGGCAGCAAGGGTCCGACCATTAGGGTTGATAATAACCTGCAACTTTATGTATGTACCTTGGAAGAATCAATCAGTAGTCTATTCGAACATGTTCGTCGGTAGTACACAGTTATAGTAGTTCGATTTCCCCTGAACATGCCATGCCATATTACTATTTATATTCATAAACTTACTCTAAGAGTCTAAATGTCTCAGGTGAAAGGGAACCGATCCATACCCCAGATCTCAGCTATGCCGAAAGATGTCCAAGATCGGCAGCACCTTGTTGACCCTCGTGTATCGTACGGTTCGCTTGCGGCGAAACGGAGAAAACCGACACTCTACTAGTACGTTGTCCTACTACACTTGCCTCTCCTACTCCTCCACCTCCTCCGCCGTGGTCTGTGCACCGAGTTCGAGTACAACCTTATTCATGTCTTTGGTGTGAGACATTTTTCACCTTTGCGTCATAGGGGACGCTTTTGTAAAATAGCAGAAGTATCAGAGAAGACATCATCAGTAACAGCGTACTTCAGTCGGCTCCCAAAATGCTTATATTTCATCTAATCGGGAAGCAGATGAACGTAGCGTGGAACTCTCGCCCTACGGATATTCAGTCATAACGGTTGTGAGAACGGCATAGCCGAATTTCATACTCAAATTGCATATACTTTAAAAGGATCGTGCGACTTTTACCTTCTTTAGGAGTGCCATACTCCCTGAGGAAAGGAATAGCATTACGCGTGCCTTTGGTCAGAAAAGGGTTGTGATCATCACCATCACAGCCTACCAGCAGTGGGTCTAACGGTGGATGGATATGTATACGGATACACGAAATCCGTTTCTTGTACAAAATCTGGTATCAAAGGGAATAAATCGGTCTTGTAAACTTTATGCATCGGCCGGGACTGGCTCAGATAACATCATTCTGGCGCCTACTTAGAGTAAGAGCTGAGCGTTATTATCGAAGGTACACTCGAACTAAATCTGAATCAACGCATTTTTGCTTTACAATTCTACTTGTTCCCAATATCTATGCCGAAACAGAATATATTTACATTCTATATCTGGCTACGGACTACAATCGCTAAAATCCTTTGTCATTTTCCGAAAAGGGCGCATCTATGGGCGCCAGGAGTTTAGGGTATCTTGTAGACATTCTAGTGCGACCTTTCTCTTTAGCCATTATTGGAAAATCCCCATGGAGAACTTAACTTTTGATCCCGAATATATGCTACTATATACACAAGTCGCGTTATTAAGATACCGCCCCCTTACCACCTGGTCAGCCTAGGCGATACGAGGATGGCCGCCATGGAATACACCATAAGTTAAGGTGGGGAATTTCCCTTCTTGTGGCTAGCATATTATACTGTACATAGTACGCCTGCAAGTTTCCTTCTGTGAGATTTTTAATGTAGGACTAGAACAATGGCCCGTTGCCGTGAAGGTCGTGACTGTGGATAACTCGCGCATATCTCAAGAACTCCGCAGCTTACTATTATTGAGGGGACTTATCGAGCGAAGTTTAGATTCGCAGTATTTCTCTAGCTACTGACTCATTCACTCAGGAAAGCCCACACAGAAGTTATCAATGTCTTATATTTGAGTTACTAGGTCTGTCAATTGATAATGCCCCTATGGACTATCATAATACGCACGACCGTCCTGAATCCGTCATTTTTGAATGTCAAAGGAGCGTTTAGAAGCAACTGCACTCACCTATGATGCTGGAATGGCGCACGGAGATAGGTGGAGGTTCTGTCCACAGCTTGTACATACTAATTCAGTACATGTATAACGGGTAGAAACGATGCATTTGGCTGTAGTTGCTACTAGCGGGAGGTCCTAGGGTTGAAGATACGGTGCAAGATGTATACTTAATTTGACTACATTGGAAGTATAGAAAACTAAAACTAAATGGGAGAACCACAATGTAAATAAGCTTAGTGTCTAAGGATCTTTCGGGCTCTGCCACAGATATGTACTATTATTGAACCATAGTAGCGTAGATTTTTAAAAATTTACTGTGGTATTATAATACTCATTCAACCATTTTAAACGTGTGCATCCTGCATAGTATAGTACCTCCTTTAAACACAGAAAGAAAATTTAACATGCCGTAAAACACAGTGCCGGCACTGTAGATCCACCATATCTTCAACCTCCTGTCCTCCACCTAGTACAATCGAGATACGACAAAAGGGGATTTTCGAGACCTTCAGGGGCCCAGAGATTAAACCTTTTAGTCCACGATGAACAGCCGCTGAATCAAGGCTTGTCTAAAGACCTGATGCAGGCGGTGGAATGAGTAGAATGGGTAGACGAAGGCGAAGAGGATCTACGAGATATTGATCTTGGCGAAAAATCTCTTTAAGGAGATGAGCCGTCGAGACTAACTCAACCAGGCAACCTGTGGGTGGCTGCATTATATTCGGGCACTTCAATTACACTGTCAACCATTGGCGAACAGCTTGCATGATAGGTAAAATCATCCTCACTGTACCCAACCTACCCCAATCGGATATGCAGACCTATGCGGTTAATTTTGTAGTGTGCATGCATGTCATGTACCTCGATGATAATGACGACTAGGGTTCAATCTCTAAATCATTACTACATTATGTTCTGCACATCACATGACACACAAGCTTTATGGTTCCAGATTAAAGACTGTCTAGTTGTTCATAGTCCAGGGTCTGTTCCAGTAGCAAAAGCGGACGATTCATCAATCAATGAAACTGTATCACGAACTACACCAGAAACTCCTTGTTTGACAAGTCCTGAAGTCATCTATTGAAAGGGAGCTCATACCACAAGGGAAGGCATCCGAGACTGCTCAGAAAGTGGCCGAACTGAAGGCTTCCCTACTTACCACATCGAGGTATGTGGGCAAAGGATGATTCTATATCGGCAAACGTGAGAGTCAGTATTCCAGGGCCATGAAGGCATGGGCAGAATATATCCAGTTCTCTCTTGAACAATAGCCACGGTTATCAACTAAGGATGGGTTTTGTGTTGAGTCGTCGAGATGAGCTCGGACCGGTAGGACGTGTGTTTAATTTCGGGATAAAAAAGAATCCAATTGCCGACATGCATAATGGTTGGACGAGGCCATCAAATCAAGCTCGACCGGGAGAACATCGGCAACTCCACATCAATCGAGGGTTTCCCCACACAACGTCATTATCTGGGGAAACAAGCCATTTCTCGACACTCGGTCTGATGATCCCCCGGTACAGCTTCTGGGATTTTTGTCTTTTCTTGGGATAGCGTTTGCATCAAGAGATTGCGAATGTGCTTCCCCTCGGGCCAGCATTCCCCCGAAGTTCATTCGGCTTCCCTGGCATGACACCTTGGAGGAAACTGTTTCCGGTGACGAAGTATTTAAAACTTTGCGTAGAGCCGGTAGGCACAATGGCCAAGATTCGAGCTTCGTCTCTCCACACCCTTCGGACACAATGCGCCTTTCGTGGTCCGCATGGCTTCTAAGCCCAGCTCTCCTGGCTGTGGCCTGTTATGGCGTGCCTTACGACGAATACATTCTCGCCCCAGCATCACGCAATCTCGTTCCCCTTGAAGTTCTTGAAGTCAATGGCTCCGTTACAAATCCCTCCTCTCTGACGCAATCCAGCAGTGGAAATGCTACGTTCGATGGACCAGCGTCTGTGACGTTCGATTTTGGCCGTAATATAGCCGGCATTGTGTCTCTGGACATTGAGTCCTCATCCACACGCAATGCCTTCATTGGAGTGACTTTCACAGAGTCCAGCTTGTGGATCAGCAGTCAGGCTTGCGATGCCACCGCTGATTCAGGCCTCGATTCACCACTATGGTTCCCTGTTGGCCGAGGACCCGGTACATACACGGCGGATAAGAAACAAAATCGCGGCGCATTCCGGTACATGACCCTAGTCACCAACACAACTGCTGCGGTATCTGTCCGCAATGTTCAGATCAACTACACCGCCGCTCCAACTCAAGATCTCCGCGCATACACGGGCTACTTCCACAGCAACGACGAGCTGCTCAACCGCGTCTGGTACGCGGGTGCATACACTAACCAGATCTGTACGATTGATCCAAGTACAGGAAATGCATTGCCCTTCTTAGGCATCATCAACTCGGATAGTAACATCACTCTGCCGGAAACTGACCCTTGGTACAGCAACTACACTATCTCAAATGGCAGCAGCACACTTACAGACGGTGCGAAACGGGACCGTCTGATCTGGCCAGGCGACATGTCAATTGCACTGGAAAGCGTCTCCGTGAGCACGTCAGACCTCTACAGTGTGCGCACAGCCCTGGAGACTCTACTCTCTCAACAAAAGTCGGACGGCCGTCTACCCTACGCTAGCAAGCCGTTCCGCGATACTGTGAGCTTCACCTACCATCTCCACAGCCTCATTGGCGTATCATACTACTACCGACATTCGGGCGACCGGGATTGGCTATCTAAGTATTGGGGTCAATACCAAAAGGGGCTGCAATGGGCACTATCTAGCGTGGATAACACCGGACTGGCCAATATTACTGCTAGCTCTGACTGGTTGCGATTCGGCATGGGAGGCCACGTAAGTACTCTTTCCTCTTCATGATATTTTCCCGCTAATCCAAGCAGAACATCGAAGCAAACGCTATTCTCTATTTTGTCCTCAACGAAGCCCAGGAACTCTCCCAAGCCATCAACAACCAAAACAATGCCAACTGGACCAAAATAGCCAGCGGTATCAAATCCGCCGCCAACAAGAAACTCTGGGATGCCAGCAATGGTCTATATAAAGACAACGAAACGACGACTCTCCATCCACAAGACGGCAACGCATGGGCCATCAAGGCCAACCTCACCCTCTCCACCAACCAAAGCAGCACCATCTCCTCCGCCCTGAGCTCTCGCTGGGGCAAATACGGTGCACCCGCTCCCGAGGCCGCAGATGCCGTATCCCCTTTCATCGGCGGCTTCGAATTACAGGCCCACTTCCTCGCAAACCAACCTCAGAAAGCACTAGACTTTATCCGTCTTCAATGGGGCTTTATGCTTGATGATCCCCGCATGACGAACTCGACTTTCATTGAGGGCTATTCCACCGATGGAACTCTCCACTATGCTCCGTATACCAATGACGCCCGTGTCTCGCATGCTCATGGTTGGTCAACTGGCCCCACGGCGGCGCTCAGTTTCTTCACGGCTGGACTGCATCTCACTGGTCCTGCTGGAGCTACGTGGAGGTTCACCCCACAGCCTGGTGATTTGACTAGTGTGGATGCGGGATACACGACCGGTTTGGGACTCTTTTCGACGACGTTCAAGAGATCCAACAATGGAGGTTATCAGGAATTGACCTTCACTACCCCACAAGGTACGACAGGTGATGTAGACCTAGCGGGTACCGAGGGCACACTAGTCTCAGCGAATGGCGAGCGTATTTCTCTAGTGAAGGGAACTGCAACAGGCATTTCTGGAGGATCATGGAAGCTGGATGTTGCAAGTCAATAGAACGAGATAAATCTTATGTATAGCGTTTAAGATTTAACGTCGAAATGTCACTTCATGATATCATCTTGCAAGAGTTATACTGCACCGTCTACATCTATGATTCCAATTAAAAATGAAACGCAGACATCCACACTAGGCTAGGCAAGTCACCAAGTCAAGACGTGCACCCCACGTTGCACCATAAATCGAACAAAAAGTGAACATATATGATTTCATCTAATGAATATCTATTCTAGTGATATATACCCCATCTAAAAAAAAAACGCCAAACCATGCCATCTTAACAAGGACCTCATTCAATCATTAAGCAGAAGCACAGTGACCACCATCAACCCTCAAATCCGTTCCAGTCATCCAGCCGCTACCATCAGCGAGCATGTAAACCGTCGGCGCCTTAAAGTCTTCGGGAACACCCAGGCGGCCCAAAAGGGCACCACGCATCCAAGTCTCCTCGACCTCGGGCTTCTCCTTCAGCAGCGCATCGGTCATAGCTGTGCGGATGTACTGGGTATCCCGGTTAGTATTGCGAGCAACGAATGAAGCCAAGGTCAGGAACTAGAAACTTACACCGGCGGACAGCGTGTTAACACGAATACCATATTGACCCCATTCCTGGGCAACAGAGCGACACATCTGGTGGACGGCTGCCTTGGAGGAGTTGTAAGCTGTGCATGTCAGACCGCGGTTGGCGATCTGTCCGGACATGGAAGCGATCATGACGATACTTCCGGGGGTGTTTTGCTCCTTGAAGATACGGGCGCAGTGTTTGGCGGGGATGAACGTTCCGATGACGCTGTGTGGAATTAGTTTTTTCTGTATCTACTTACTTCCTCTGTAACTATCCAAACGTGTCTAGACTTACTTGACATCCAACATCTTCCTCCATCCGTCAATCGGGTAGTCCAGGGCAGGCACCATTTGCTGGATACCAGCGCAGGTAATAGCTCCCCGCAAAGGCATGTTGCGCTTCAGTCCCTCGGCGGCGATCTTCTCAAGGACGTCCTTTGTCACCTCCTCGTTGGTGATGTCGCACTGGGTGTATGTTGCCTGGAGACCACGGGCAGAAGCCAGCTTCTGCACGGTAGCCCATTCCTCATCGCTGGGGGTGGGCAAGAGATCCAAACACGCGACATCACCGCCGGCTTCGATGACGGCTGCTGCAAGGACGATTCCGAGTCCGCGACCGCCGCCGGTGATCACGACTGTGCGGTTTCCGAGAGAGAAGAGGTCGCCGGTCCGAGCCACGGCGGGATTCTGAATAGATTCCGGGGTGACGGCGGTCGTGTTCTCGGGGACTGCGGAGGGGGCCATTTTTGTTGGTGTTGTGTGGGTGTGTTTTAGGAAATTATTGTGTTTGGGAGAGTAAGAGTGATTGATTGGAGAATTTGGGGACTCATATATATGTTCATGATGCAGGGCTTTGTGGCGCTTATCCACGACTAAACTAGTAGGACAGTTAATTCAAACATGAAAGTACATGTTCGAAGATATTGCTTGGGGGATGCTTATCCACATGAGTTCTCTGGTCCGCCAACGGAAAATCAGGTACGCTGCTCAGGGTGGACACGATACTACCCCGACCGATGCTTGTGTTTACCCATGGGGGTTATCCCACCAAATGGCGCTTATATGGTCCGGAAAGGGTAATATGGGGGAGGTCTGGTGGCTGACGTTGTGGGTCCATTCTGCAGGCGCTAATGTCTACCAAGTTAGGAAATCGGGCCGCCATACCGAAACGGACTCCAACCGTCGCCCCGGAAGTTGACCGGCTACGGGATCAGTTGTTGCTACCCCGGTATCTCGACCTCTTCGGTGGGAATTGGCCCCCATAGGAAATTCAGTGGTCTAAGCTCTTTTAATCTACCGGGGGGCTGCTTTATCAGGTTATCTCAAAACAAAAGAGCTAATAGTTAAGATTGTAGATGGCAAAGCGAGACAATGATAGGGCTGAAGTGTACAAAATAGGGACGATTATACGAAAGTTTAAATGCCGCGCCATTTTTCCATGTTACGCCTCCGAGAACCTTGAGCCCTGGGGCCCCGCAATTCGCAGGCCGTTGTCAACGAAAACACACGGAAGAGTTCAAGCTATGACGTCCGAATTTTTTCCGGGGTACTATTATATATAAAAGTAGATGTAATCCCATGAACTTGGTTGTTGCTCCGCGTTAAACACACATAACTCACGACTTCAATAAGTCCAGCGGCCATAATGACATTTCTTATTGGAAAGCCGCTAACTCTGGCCATTACGGCCACTGCTGGCAGTGGCTTCCTTCTGTGAGACTATGTGTATGCCCTAAGTCACGATGTATGTACTGACTGAACAGATTCGGCTATGACCAAGGTGTCATGTCAGGTCTCCTGTCGGGAGACGCATTCGTTCAAACATTTCCCGAGATTGACACCACCACGGGTGGCCATGGTAGCTCGACTTTGCAAGGAACTGTGTAAGTTTAACCTGCATAATTCTTTGGCTAGGGCTAACAAAAGTATCAGTGTCGCCATTTACGAGATTGTGAGTCGCCCTTGTCTTCATTTGGGCTAGGTCTGACTGTCATAGGGTTGTTTCCTGGGTGCCATTATGGCCCTGGTTTGGGGCGAGAAGGTTGGACGTCGCATGTGTATCATGGCTGGCTGTGTCATCCTCTCAGTCGGTGCTGCCCTGCAATGCAGTGCTTTCAGTATCCCCCATATGATCGTGGGTCGAATTGTGGCAGGTATTGGAAACGGACTCAACACTAGTACTATCCGTACGTACCCTCCCCTAAGTATGACCTTCGAGTCGAGTGGACCAGCTAACGATCAATAGCGGTTTGGCATTCCGAACTGAGTAAGCCTGAGAGCCGAGGGAAAGGGGTAGGTCTCCACCTTCAGCGTAGGTTTTGTGTTTTAGCTTACGTGTTATAGCTCGCTATTGAATTGTGTATCAATATTTTCGGTGTCATGACGGCGTACTGGGTCGGTAAGTTCAAGGCAATACGCCGTTCCCCTTCCGTCTCTTCCTCTCGGCAACCTCTGACAAAACAGACTATGGCATGAGCTACGTCAAGAACGACGCACAATTCCGGTTCCCTATTGCCCTTCAGATTCTTTTCGCTATCCTCACTTTCATTGGTATCATTGCCTTGCCTGAGTCGCCTCGTTGGGTAAGTTTCTCCTAGTCTATCTGCCGATTCCTTAACTAACAACCCAGCTTATTGCACATGGCCGAGAAAGCGAAGCCCGTCGTATCATTTGGGCTCTTCAACCTAATGCTCACAGCATCACGGAGGACGATGCAATCGTTAACCAAGATGTCGGCGAAATCACAAAGGCTATAAGGGAGGAACAGGCTGCTACAGAAGAGAGTTCATTCATGATGGTGTTCAAGAACGGTCCCCAGAAGTTTCTGCATCGGACACTCCTGGGCATGGGCGGACAGATGATGCAGCAGTTATCCGGAGTGAACCTAATCACATATGTGAGTAGCTTTCCATCTCCCAAAGACTTCTGGTCTAATGCGAGTAGTACAATACCGTTATCTTCGAAAAGTCTGTCGGTATGAGCCACAACTTGGCGCTGTTGTTGGCAGGCTTCAATGGTGTGGCGTACTTTGTGTCAACCTTGGTCCCTATCTGGACGATTGATCGGTATGTTAAGTACTGCGTCTGTGTATGATGCACTGGGCTAATTTTGCAGGCTCGGTCGACGGAAGCTGATGCTTTTCGCTGTGATCGGACAATGTGCTTGCATGGCTATTTTGGCCGGGACAGTGTGGGATGGTAGCCATGCCGCAGGTCTGGTGGCCACTGTGATGCTATTCCTCTTTAACTTTTTCTTTGGAGTGGGCTTGCTTGCGATTCCATGGCTCTGTATGTTCATCCTTCATTATCCTGCCCACGTTCAGGATACTAACCATCATAGTGCCTGCGGAATACTCCCCGTTAGCCACTCGTACCCGATCCGCTGCACTGGCTACGGCAACCAACTGTACGTTCATCCCAGTTCTCTTCAATATACCATGCTAACCAGTCTAGGGATCTTTACATTCTTGGTGGTGGAAATCACCCCCGTCAGCATTGACAACATTGGATATCGCACGTATATCTACTTTGCAGGTACGTACAACGCGACTATATTTATTGACTAGTAGTCGCTAACAGTAGCAGTGTTCAACTTCTGCTTCATCCCTCTGATCTATTTCTTCTACCCCGAGACGCGCAACCTCACTCTCGAACAAATCGACCACTTGTTCACTGGCGAGAAGGTGAAGCTGCATTGGCACGCATCGATGGGAGTTGCTGGCGATGCCGAGCGTCGAGTGGGAGAGAAGGACGCAGAACTTGCTGGTGTCCAGCATGTAGAATAGATTGTTTAGTTTGTTTTCTGTTTTGTGATACCACGGGGCTTACAGCTCAACGGTGCTATGAAGTTAGTGTAAAATAATGGAAATTCTCCTTTGCATATTTTTTTTTTACATATATTCTTATTACTATGATTCCACCTACAAGGCATGAGACAAGACATACCAAGTTTTCACTGTTGTAGTATCCGCACTATAGAAACCCGATATACACGGGAATTTCCGACTGTATCCTACTGAGCCCTAAGAGTTTTAGTAGTTTGACTAGAAAAGTACTCGAAGATATGAACAAAACTCTGCAACACCGCCAAGCTGTATCCCTGATTCTACATGACCTGCATCATCATCGTACGACGACCGGATAAAAGTATAAGAATGAGTTTTTTTGGTATCCCCACAGCAGAGATTTCAGAGGTCATCCCCGTGTTTTCCCCACATTTGATCAAAACCAGGTGGCGGTTATCGGTACCCGATCAGGTAATCTACCCGACTCCTCTGTCGACGACCCCAAACTTACTTTTTCAGGTAATTATAGACTTTCCATTCCTTTCCCCGTATCATGAGGTTTAGTTAGTCCCTTCAATCACCTCAATCACAATGACTACCATGCCTCAGAATACTGACTCCTTGCGTCATGCTCCCCGGAAGCGTACGCGCACCGGTTGTATCAATTGCAGTAGACGCAGGCGAAAATGTGGGTCAAAATTTACCCCGGGAACTACTTTTCCAGAAGCTCACGATAGTCTAGGTGACGAGTCCAAGCCAACATGCACCGGCTGCAGACGGCGCGGCGAAAAGTGCCAATGGCGTGTACTAGGCTCGTTCCGAGAGGCCAATATCAAAGTCCTCGAGCCTGGCCATCCGTCCATGAACCAATCAGTTGGTCGGAATAGTCGGCAGAGTAAATTCAAGGTGGGTTACAGCTGCTTATGGAAGCCGTGCCTAGCTGACCAAGTAGATATTGAATGTCGACCCTCCTTCGGCCCGAAAGGAGCGTCCTCGTAAAGAGCAAACGCTGCCCGAGAGGGCGCCTTCTGCTCAACCCCAGCAGGAGTCGCAGCAGGAGGCTTCAGCACCCTCACCGTTACCTGTTAGCTATCCGGATCAGACTCCGGCTCAGTTACCTCAGTCTGATTTCAATCCCTGTGATGATCAGGGCCTTTCCCCATCGCTGTCGAGTAATGCTTCCTTTTACCCGGCTGCGGAAGTCCGTAACCATGGACGCGATAGTGGCCGCAACGATGAGACGGCTAACGAAGTTCCCAACCACATTCCCCATAACGCTTCACCGAACCATCCGTATATGCATTCCAGTCCTGAATTTGTTATTGATGAGCTCGCTGCATTACGAAATTTCTCCAATAATGCGGCATCCTTTCCTCCAAATGCCCCAGAGCCCTACCAAGGCATCGCCTCGCCTCTCTTTGATCACAGCGTCTTCTCCGATCCAGTCAACTTTACCAATGATGTCTTTCTGCCTGGATCCGCCTATGAGGCGCTTCATACTACGCTACGGAACCGACAGCTCTGGACAGCCCGACCGGACATCCCTAGTCGGTGTAGCTCGCCAGCGTCAGTTCCAGAGTCCGGTGCTGTGACTCCAAATGAGTTGCATCCAAGTGAAGTACACAATTACTCGAGACCAAGACGCCCATTCGAACTCTCACCAGCTCGGGAAAATGTGTTGTGGCAGAACTATCTCAATGAGATTTGTCTTTGGGTGTGTATTTGTTCCAACGTCGGTGCGGTTAACCTCTTTACTGACCAATCAGCTGGACATGTTCGACAATCATCGTCACTTTGCCTCGACCTACCCTCAGATGGCCAAGTCATCGCCACACCTTCGCTATTCTATTTTGGCCTTATCAGCCCGCCAGATCGAGCGAAAACAGAATCAGAAGTCCCAGTCCGAAAGCCTTTCCCTGTACCAGGAGGCAATCCATCTCCTCCTCCCGGAGCTAGAGAGCAAGACAACACCAGTTATAGCATCATGTGTGATTCTATGTGTATTGGAAATGCTCAGCTGTGCGCTTACCTACCCTTTCCAATTAAACAAGACTCTCCTAACGTCTGACAGGTAATCCCAAAGAATGGCGCCGACATCTAGACGGCTGCGCCTATCTAATCCAGGCCGCCGAAATCAACGGGTTTTCCGGGAAAGAAGAACAGGCTCTTTTCTGGTGCTTCGCACGAATGGGTACATTATCCCCCACCCTCATTGCGACAACATTGTTTTCTAATAAATCAGACGTCTGCGGTGGCCTCATCTCCGAAGAAGAAACCATCATTCCCATCCACCACTGGATCCCTAAGGACATGAGTCCAGCCGAAGCATCCCAGCACTTCCTAGCCTCCAACATATCCGCCTTCGACACCTACGCAAACTACACCGTATACCTCTGCGCCCAAACACTCGGTGTTCTCTTCAACCCCTCGTCCCAACTTCCTCCGTCCTGTGTATCGTGTCGATACCTAGGTAGTCCTGATGATAGAGATACCTATGTGCACCGGTGGAAGCGTCTTTTCGATAGCGTCGAAGAGTGGTACGATAACCGGCCGAATCAGATGAAGTCAATCTTTGTGATACCGGCTACAGCGGGACCGGGGCAGGAGAGACCGTTTCCTACGGTTTTGTATGGGAATGGGGCTGCTAGTACGTCTTCCTGGTCCCGTTGCTCTTCTCATTATACTGACGAGACTAGTCTCGGGGAATCAATTGTATCACGCGTGTGCGTTACTCTTGCTTCAACGGAAGCCGAAGACTCTTTCTCTTTCGCGGCGGCCGGTATGTCTTCTCTTCTGTAAATGCTTTAATTGACATTATACTAATACAACTCTAGAAATCCGTTCTTTGGCACGCAAGGCAAATCTGTGCTATCTCCGCTTCTAATACCCATCAGTAAGTCCAGCATATTGCACTCCTTTTATTTAAAAAAAAAAAAAAGCTACTAACCAGTATACCAGTGGCTGCTGGACAAATGCCCTCCAACCACTCTGGCTAGCCGGCAAAGCCATGTCACATCATTCCGAGCATACAGCAATCATCGAAACCTTGACGCGTATCGAGCGTGAGACCGGCTGGGCTACCGCGTGGAGGGTCGAAGATCTGAAGGATTTCTGGGGAGAAGATGACGACATAGATGAAATGGAGCCGATGAGAGTAGACGTGGAGGGAGATGTGAGTCTGCAGACTCCGCGGAGTATCAGGAGCCTTTAAGACTAGGGCTACGATTGGACATGTTTGACGATGTTGATGACTAGACGTAGATGAAATTGTTATATAAATGCTGGAAGAACGTCACGAGATAAATTTTTCAATCGTGATAAATATAGTGCAATGGCACAAATAGACATTTCGCGCACAGAGCCCATCAAAATACACTGTAAAGCACAACTCGACATCTATAAACACCACAACCACACCCTAAGCCAACTGAACCTCCCTACAAAACGACCATAACACTTCAACAATACCCCACACCCCGAAATCTCCAAATGATCCTTCAAAAAGGCCTAACCAGAGTACCTTCTCTCCCCTCTTAACCCTAAACCGCAGCCCATCCTGAACCTCTCCAAGTCTATAAATTCCTTCATCCCAGCACCCACATACCTCGCCAACTCACATCGAGCAGTTCCCCGGTCCAGAGGTTACAGAGTTCGATGTACTTGCTTACGAAGTCTTTCTAAACTCGTATGCATTTTGTCCAAATGCAGCCTTCGCACCCGCTAGTATAGCATGTGGATTAATCCTCGACGGGAACAAATCCTGCATTTTGTGATAGAGCTCTTCCGGGCTTGACGTCGTGGCAATTGCCTCCTCAAACGCCAGAATATATCGTCTTGTGTTCTGAATATTAAAGACGCCATCAACTGTGCCAGCCCTCTTGTGACCAGCAACCACAGTATGAGGCTTCAACGACTCGATCGTATCTAACGCCCGAAGCCACTCCCGACGTTTACTTGTCGTATTAGCCTCGCCAAAGAACTGGTGCACATCCCCATATACAATGTCACCAGCCACGACGAGATCAATATCAGGAACATACAGGGCAGTCGAGTCATGTGTATCTGTATGTCCGACTTCGATGATCCGGAACTCATGATCTTCCATCATAAATGTATCTGAGGGCCATGGCTCTGCCGTCCTCTGTGGCTGATAGATCTGGTCAGGGAAGAAGCGAGTCCAGATATTGATGAACTTTTCTGGCTCAAGCTGTCCTTGAGAATGGGTGACTGTTGCGGGTGTGGCGATTGCGCGTGCGGAAGGCCATCGTTTTTGGAGTAGTGGGATGCCGAACCAGTGGTCGCCGTGGCCGTGCGTGATGTATATGTATTTCAGTGTTTTGCCTGGTGCGATGTCTTCGATCCATTGGATTAACTCTTCGGTTTGGGTGATGGAGATTGGTGTGTCGACTAGGACTGCCTCGTTGGTGCCCTGGATTAGGGTGCAGGATATTGGTGAAAAGGCGCTTGATTGCCCGTCTCGTTGGATGGCGATGGGGAGACGGGAGGAGACCCAGACATCGGCTTTGAGGAGCGAACTCATAGTATCAGAAGTAGATGTGGAGGTTTGCTTAGTTCAAAATGGAGTGTAGGTATTATGTATACTGGTGCTTGTGGTCTAGTGGCCTCGGTCGTGTTTAAATAAATCCTTTTCCTCTCGGAAGAGGTCCGCCGACAGAACTTTGAGGTCAACCAGCATGGCCTCATAGGAGAAACCCTCGGCAAGCTTCTACCGAATTTATTGGATTTGTGAAATTGAGTAGATGATCGTTCTATATCTGCAAGGGAGGTGGGTTTCCACCTCGGCGATTGTGCTGTGTCCCCGCGATGAATTGGATCCAGGTCGGGAGTATCAGTAATCCCCGAAATAAACTCCCAACGATCACCCCTACTGCAAAACTATGCCTACCCTACAGCTACTATATATAATCCCATGACTCGCACAAAGACAAACTAACCCCATCTTCCAAGAAATCACTTCATATTCTCTTTCACTATCCTCCACATAACCAAATCCGTGCTAAACTTTTATACTCAACCAAACAACTACAACAATGCCCCGCTGGACCTTCTATCTATCCCCCAACACCCTCACCCAAGAGGAAAAGGGAACCATCGCAAGAAAAGTAACCGATCTCTACATCGGTCTCGGCATCCCCGCCTTCTGGATCAACGTCTTCTTCCATGAGGTCGGCGAGGGCAATTTCTACAGCGGGGGGAAATATCCCCCGAATGCCGTTTTCTTCCATATGGATCACGCGGCCCGCAAGATTGCTTCTGAGGAAGTTCGAGACGAGTTCATTAGGAAGGTCAATGATATTGTGAGACCGATTTTGGATCCTAAGGGCATCAAGTGGGAGTATAATATCTATGAGCATCTGAGAGATAATTGGAGGATTAATGGCATGATTCCTCCTATGGATCATCCTGAGGTTTTGGAGGAGTGGAGGGAGAGGAATGCGCCGGTTGTTTATGAGGGGGCGTATAAGTGATTGAGGGGTTTGTTGTTTTGTATGGACGAAGTACAAGATATATGTAACCAGACACGCAAGGTCAAATTGAGAGAGTTGATACCACCATCAATTGAGGACTGGAGGACTAAATTGAGGTCACATTTGTGTAGATTTTAACAGTAGGAGATAGCAAACTCGCTTCAGCTTCTATCGGCTAAGGTCAGAGTGACATTCATTTCTCTGCGAGATCTGTATTTTGGAAATGTAACAGAAAAGCTAACCAAACTGAACCGCCAAATGCACAGGGCTCCAGCCTTACTTCACATTTTCCTGCAGTTATGTTCTGTTCGTGCACTCGGCTAGGCCAGTGCAGTACGCAAGTGAATAGTAAACTGCGAGTAAAGTTTGAGGCAACCTCGGCTCTATGTATGGAGATCACTAATTCTATAATATCTCGAAATAGCGTTGCCAACGTCACTCTGGGATGTTCCCCTTCTGGGAGTTTACATAGGCCTTTGCTCAGTCCGTAGAACATCTAACAATTGTACTTCCTGTCTGCAGCTTTCATAGCCCGCTCCATCTCATCTATTCTCTGAACCTCTACTTAATACTTACAGAATGTCGCGCGAGGATATTGAAATCAAGACTTACGACGAGGTCATACTGCGGGGCTGGTTCTATCCCCGTGAACCAAAAGCCCCAGTGATAATCATGTCTTCCGGGGTAAGGCACATTCACCTCCACGTAGAGAGACGCCATTCGTTTGATCTGAAGCAACAGGGCAAGAACTGACTGACATCGGTCGCAGATGGCAGGGATCAAAGAAAACTTTCTCGACAAATTTGCGGAGCGGTTCCAACAGGCCGGATTTGCAGTACTTTTCTATGACAACCGGAACTGGGGAGCAAGTGACGGTACCCCCCGCAACCATACCAACCACTACGAGCAGATCCAAGACGCCCATGACGTCGTCACCTATGCAAGCAAACGTCTCGACGTAGATGAATCTCGCATCATTCAATGGGGGTCTAGTTTCTCGGGCGGTGCCGCCATTATTGCTGGGGCTGTCGATCCGCGCATCAAAGCAGTTATTGCCCAGGTGCCCTTTGTATCGGGCCGTGCTGTCCGCGAGCGTCTACCGCTTGAGACTCTCGAAAAGGTCTATGCGGATCGCGGCCACAGTACCGCCCTAAACCCTTCGTATATCCCTATCTATCCAGAGTCGCTGGAGCAGGCTCGGGAGCAGCCCAAGTCCGCGCTGCTGGGCACGGAGGAATGCGGGGACTATTGGCAGATAATCAAGAACTTTAAGCCCGAAAAGAAGAACGCTATAACTCTTCAGACTATGTTTCATACTATTCGGTCGGAACCTAGCGCCTTTGTTGATCAGATCTCCCCGAAACCATTCTTCATGGCTATTGCTGGGCATGACTCGCTTATAGATCCAAGTCTGCAGGTTAACGTCTTCGGCAAGGCACAAGAGCCGAAAGAATTGTTGAAATTAGACTGTGGACATTTTCAGGTCTATCAGGGGGAGCACTTCGAGGTTAATGTGCTGGCACAAATTGCTTTTCTCAAGAAGCATTTATATATCTAAGACATTAGTCCAGAATTTTATAGTCCAAGCGGCAAGGTCATATTCAGCCGAACATAGTACACTACGCAACGAAAGAATGGGTAGGGAAGGCTGAATAGGAATTTTTCCTGATGCCTTTATGGTCATTGTATCTATGAGTCTTTCTCCCGACGGCATTCTCTAGCCAAATACATACACTTAACCACCTATTGTGGTTGGAGACAAGTCGTCTTAGTCCGTATTCATGCTCTCCAAAATATACGCTTATATAACGGATGCATTTTAAATCAAACACACGAGAGTATTATATCCGGTAACATATAAACCAGGATGTGGCTTTCTAAAACTAAGCTCAGCTCGTGATTCATCCATGGAATAGTAATACTCTCAACCTAATCACTGCTACCGCAGCTCAATTTCCTAGATCCGTCAACCTGCCTAAGAGCTCTATGTAGTATAATTTTTGCTCTAGTCTACTTTAAGCTGTATAAACCACTACATACAAGAAGTAAGCCTCTTATCATGATGAATACAGCTATTCAAGTCCTAAAAAGGATTACTATGTAAAGCTGACTCACGTATCTCCGATAAGTACTCGGTATACTAGGATCGGTTGAATCTGCAGGGATCTGAACGGAATGCCGAAACCGGTGCGGATCCTAGATCTCGGCTACGATCCGCACCGTTGCAGGTTCGGTGCAGACTTTGCAATCCTAGACTCCAGCAGCCCTGTTCACTTTAGTAGAGGCTCTGAATTGTCTCGATCATGAGCTCAGAGGCTCATAAGCTCTTGGAGAACGGGGAGCGACTTATAATCCAACATCTAGATTAAAAGATTAATTCATTATAGTGCTCAAAGTTGTGTACAAGGCTCTTGTACGCGTGATAGGATGTCTAGGGAAATTGAAAAGTTGAATATTGGTCATGTATTCGTATCAAGATACAATTATTGCCATTTAAACCTGTTTCTTGCGCAAGATTATAAAAAAAAAAAAAAAAAGAAAGAAAGAAATTGGGCGACGAGAAGGGATGGCAAAGAGTTACCCTTGCATGCTAGCAGACAAGTCCATAACTAGTGCTCATGAGCTTTGAGCGATATCCTACTGCGTAAGGTGAATCTCTACAATTACCTACGACTTAAAAAACCAAGTACGCCCAGACAAAGGAAACTATTGCCTATGCGGTACTAGGGCAAAACACGACAACAAGATTTACAACATACCACGGGATACCTGTCAGGGGCAACCAAGGGATAGACTCGTGCCCACTTTTCTGTTGGCCCCTGAACCATGTCCGAGGGTTCTGTTTGCCCTTCATTCTTTTACTTTTTTTTGTCTATGACATTCCTTGACTGACCATGGTTGAAACGAAACATTCCTTTTCCGACGCGATTCCTTGGCGTGACGTGCAATTCATTCCCGTCGTTGCCTGGGAAGTAGCCTTGGTAACGTTCGTCTTATGGATGTTCGGGATCTGTAAGTTGAATTAGTTATACGTATACCGGTCGCGATGAGGTAATTGATGTCGTATTCGTTTTCTACGTTCAGTTTGGGGTAAAAGAAAAATAGGGGAAGTGGTCTGTGGATGAGGGAATTAGACTATTGGCAACGTTCTGCCAAGACCAGTAGTAGCGAGCTTAAGTAATGGCGCATTTTGAATTTTTGAAGAGACTTTCTCGCCTCTACTCTGGAGTATGGTTCAGTGCGTCGATATTAGCGCCTTAATGCCATGTTGAGAATGGCGGTTGCCTAAACGATGGTTCATTCTCGTCGACTTTATTATGTTGAGGATCTGTGCTTTTAGGGTAATGATGCCGCCTTTGGGCAGAATTGAACACTACTGTCTCCATTGACTGTGTTATAGGGGTAAGCGGAATTGGTAAAAATATCGGGGAAGAAGAAGGGAAATTAAATAGTAGATAATAAAATGCAAAAACAACTGAAATGTTAAGAGATTAACCTAGACAAGATAAATACAATCATTGGTTAAAATTTTGATATTATCATAAGCATTGTGTGGTTGTACCGTACCCCCAAATATATTAATTGAACGACGAATTATATATAACGATCAACCGGGATATATATTCCCAACATTGCAATATGACCAGTGGGTGATCTGCCCTACGTAGTGTTGAAACCACTCAGTACCATTGGCTCTACTCTCAGTACTAGGTTCATATTTCATATGTACTCCGTAAATAACAAATAACAAATCATTGATGTTGTACCCCGTACCCCCTGTAAATCCAACTCACTGAATGAGACCTGATATCACCGAGTGGTGGAGATCGAAATACAGACCCATCCAGACCCCACAAATGTGGCGCATGTGTCAAGCAAACGAGGACAACGCCACACTGCTATAAGTCGAATCCAGACTAGCGTACTCCGTAGATTGCCAGGGCAATCTCAGAGCCACCCCTGATTGGCCCTCAGGGGCTATGAGGAATGGATTTCCCCTGGAAATAGAAACGAATATGCATGGTTTGAAACCACTGGCCACGCTGTCAGGTGGATAATAACTTCACTCCATCACCCAAGAGATGAACCAGTCTTGCCAGAAATCCTGACGTCGAACTCCTTTCTGTGGATTTATATCTCCCATTGGAAAACCCAATACTTCAAAAGGAAGTCGTCATCGACCCTTCCCAACATGGATTGAGGGCTGAAACGGCGGAAGGTTATTGTTTCACTCTTTATTACTGCGGTGTGTCGCTCCTTATTTTCTTTTTGTCCCTTCTGGGAAAGATTTGCAGGGTGAACCTCCTACGACTGCCCTGACCGACCTTCTTGTATACGAACCTATCCCTACCCCTCTGGATTCGCAAACAACCGTGAAGATGGCACCCTCCGCACTCGTTGCCCTCGGGTCATGGAAAGAGGAAAAGCGCGTCACATCCTCCAGAGGCGTCAATGACGGCCCAGAGTCCGAAGCTCTAGTGTCGCCCCCCAGCCCCGCGGTCCCAGATTACGATCCTACAGTCGGTGCAAAGCCATACTCACCTTTTTATCGCCATGCGACGCAAAACTTCTCCGCACAGACCCCGAATCCCACCCTGAAAGTACCCAATGCCAATGAACTGGAAAACGGCGTTAGTGCATATCGACCATCCGGGGAGTCGGACAATCGCCGCAGTTCGAAGCTCTGGACGGAGAAGAAGAGACATTGTGACTGGCTGAGGGCAATGCCGAAGAAGCATAGAATAGCTGTGAAGGCGGTCATTGCCATTGCGATAGTAGGGACGATGGTGGCTATTGCTCTGGGCATTACGGCGGCGGTTGGGGGAGGAGTGTGGAAGTCGAATCACCAACAAGGGTCTATTGGATCCTGAACCGGTACGTTCCCTAATTTTGAGCGAGATGGCCAGATCTGACTCGGTTTCTAGTGTCCCGGATGGCTTATTTTTTTTCTTCACACCTGCTTACGGTTTCCATATTCTTCACGTCTCCCAACGCACGCTGGGAGTAGCTTTTCTGCCAAACAGAGTTCCGGCACAGTGGACCGGACGAACAAGGGGCAACAACAAAGATAAAAGGGATGGTAGAATACCCCGACAGGGCGTGCGACGGGGATTACCTTGTAAATATAAGTCGCTCGATCGGCCGAAACAACGGTCCAGACGCGTGGAATTAGGTCGTGATAGTGACATTTCCTTCATGTGAGAGAGCAGAGCATTAGTCTATGACAGCCAAGAATTAAGATCATCTCATATTCTCAACAAACTGAAGTGGGCCGGCCTTGTGGCCTGGCTCGGCTAAGCGTTCGTAGATCAGTGCCTGATCGCCTAGATTAGGTGCCTGGCGGCGGAAGAACGTCGGCCCCCAACACGTGACCCACAGATGCTACAAAAAGGCCGATCGCCAGCATTCCTTTGGGATTTTTTTTCTTCTTTTTCTTCATTACATCGAAAAGCTTTAACAGAACCTGCCACGACCGTCGTCCAGTCTTTATCCCACGGCGACGTGTTGCCTTCGGTCTACGGACTGATTGGTTCTGGAGAACAATCTCCTCGATAGGAAGTTTGCCTTTCGTTGGGTCCTCTTTAGTGAGGGCGATGAGGGGTGAATGTCGATGACGGGATACATACTGACTTTTGAGAATATTTGTGATGTTCATAAGATCGCTTAGTGTTCAATGAAGAAATGAATGAAAATAAAAATGATAGTTTCAAATTATTCTTGCCACCATAATATGGTAGAACAGATTGTACTCTGTAGTTGTTCGTAGTAAAATAATGTTTAATGCGACAAGTGTGGAACATCACGTCAGGTGCTTTCGGTCACGAGAAATGAATTGATGCGTTCCTGCAGAGACAATCGTCCACGTCCTCGATTGCGTCAAAAGGACGGCCCAGATCTCCGAAACGTCAATGCATTGCGATTCCCTTCCCTTAACAGGACCAACGCGACGCGAATCCTGTTCGACAATGAGTGGAACAACAGGGGTATGGGCAAGATGATAGGCGAGGCAAGGGCCTCCTACCGAAACAAGGTGTGTAGAGCATACCGGTCCCTGCAAAGCCGCGAAGTGAGGAATGCTGATCCGGGCAATCAGATCAAGCCTGGACCAAACAAGATGTGAAAAACAAGGCTCAAGCCCGGCGAAGTCCATTCCTTGGGGGCATTCTCAGCTGGAAAACAATCACTGAAGGCATTTGTTTGTGGCGCTCAAGGGGAACCCGACATACCAAGCGTCAATGGGTTAATGTTATTTGGATGATAAAAAGGCCAAGCACGTCCAGCCCTCTCGGAAAGGAGAGCTCGAGAAGTCGCAAAGCCAAACCAGAAGTCTTTCATTCAGTTACTTTCTTTAATTAATATTTGTTGCGGTTGTGTTTGCCCTTTTGGCCGTCAGCCCGTTGTCGCTCTTTTTCTTACGTTAACGAGAATATCTGGTTTGACAGGTAAAGTCCGAAAGGAATAATAATCGGAAGCAAGATGAAGGGTCTTCAAAATGGTATTCCTATCGCCATGCTGGCTGCAATGGCCAGTGCCCAGGGTTTCGGTGGAAGCCCTCGAGTTGATACAGGCAACGGTGTGGGAATGGGCTTCAGCAACGATTTCTCCAGCGAAGTGAATAACGTCAACAAGGACGACCACGCCACCAATGTGCACAGCGAGACGAATATTCTCAAGGCCCCGCCGCACCCACCTCATGGTGGTCAGCATGGCCGGCCACACGGTGAGCACGATGGCCATAACGAGGGTCCTCGCCACCAGCCTCGTGCAGGACACCCCGGTTCTGACGGCGTGGACGTTGGAAATGCTGCCCAGTGGAACAGCGTGAGCGAAGCCACGCATAAGGTGAACAGTGCCAATGTGGATAACCACCATGTTGATATCAACGAGAAACATACCATTACTGTCCTGCCCCCGTCACCGAAGCATCACCCCCACGGAGGCGAGCACGAGAGACATGGAGAAGAGCACCAGCACGGTCACGAGCAGGGCGAGGGAGCACGCGGACACGGTAAGCGCTGGGACCCTTTTGATGAGGGCGGTGCTGTCGACACTGGTAACTCTGCCGGCTATGACTTTAAAAATAAGTTCCACTCGAAAACAAACAATGCCAACGTGGATAACCATCAAGTCGATGTTGATGAGAACACCAATATCGTGACACCCCCTCCGCATCCTCATGGGCATGGCGGACATGGCGGACATGGATCTGAGCATGAACGCCGGGACGAGCATGAGCCGCATGGAGGACCTAGGAAAATTGACACCGGTAACGATGTCGACTTCACTTTCTCGAACGAGTTTGACCACGAAGTGAACAGCTACAATGAGGACAACCACGGAGTTGACGTTAACAAGAATACGAATGTTCATGTCGCACCCCCTCACGGCGGGCCTCCCCATGGTCACGATGGTCAAGAGGGCCACCACAAACGTGCGTATCGACCCGATGCCGATGGCGCTTTTGAACCTAGCCGCTTAGACACTGGCAACGCAGCCAACTCTGAAGCATCCAACTCTGTTGACGCGGAGAGCAATTCTGCGGATGTCGATAATCACTCTATGTCGTTGAACTACAACGTCAACGAGACCGTTGCACCCCCGCATGCTGATCACCATGATAATGGGCATGAACAGCCTGCTGAACATCATCAGCAGGAGCCTCAAAAGCCCGCTGAGCACCATGAGGAGGAGCATGCGGAGCCCGTCCCGACCTGCACCACCTTGACTCGCGAAGTTGTGCACACGGTGGTCCGCACTGTGCAAGCCCACTCCGAGCCCACACACGGTCCCCAGCATCAGGAGCAGGTGAACACTCCCGCTCCTCAACATGAGCAACCCAAGGACCATGAAGGAACCAACCACGACGACCATAGCGAAGTGAAGAGCCCCAAACCCACCGGGAATGATAGCTCCCATCATGAAGAGGCTCATGGGCCCGCTTCTACTCCTGCCCATGAACAGCCTAAGCCCACAGGTGCGGATGGCTCCCATCATGAAGAGGCTCATGGGCCCGCCTCTACTCCTGCCCATGAACAGCCTAAGCCCACAGGTGCGGATGGCTCCCACCGCAAAGAAGATCCTTCGTCTCATGAGGGTGCTCATAGCACCAATGCTCATGGATCCGCTTCTACTCCGGTCCATGGACAGCCTCAGAACGTGGGTGACGATGGCTCCCACTTCGACGTGCCCTCCTCTACAACGCTGGCTCACATTGCCATGACGCCAGAACCTACCCATGCTCCTTCCTACCAGCACGGAGTCCTGACATCCACACAAACTGTTCATGCTTCCTCCTCTTTCCACAAGGTTCACGTTTACGTGCCACAGGGCTCGAGCAGCGCTGCGCATGTCGGTCAGACTCCCGCCGCCACTCCATCTGCCCATGTCCCGGTCGGCGTCGACGCCGAGCACAGTTCTCACGTTGCAAATGGCCCCGCTACACCCACCCCCTCTTCTCACGATGTCATGTTCACAGGTGCTGCCGCGAACTTGTCCCCTAGTGCCGGTGTCATTTCCCTCGCTTGCGGAGTGATTGGTCTCTTGGCCTATGTGTTGTAGATGGTGTGGTGTTGTGTAGTTCACTTTCTTTTCCTTGAAACCTCGATGTCGAGGCATAATATTTTCTGGTTGCTGTATTCTTAAGCTTAGGGCTGGATCGCCGCCCATGTCTCTCGTTCATATCTATTTTGTCATGATATGCCAGTTAATGAGTTGTTTTTTTTACCATACGTCTTGCGTGAGTAGATTTAATGCTTCCTAGCCCTGGCCTCAGTGGTATCCATACATGTAGTCCCTTTAAAGCAACCTATCCATCATATGATTTGTAAATTAGTCCTTGTATCCCCGCTCAGTCCATTACATGACCCTGCTCAAGTACCACCCACCATAAGATCCATCCATAGGTAACCGCGCACGTGCACCGGCCATACCCTACCACAAACAAAAGTATACAAACCACCTTCCTATAAGCTATACTCCATATCCCATAGCGAACCCTCTATATTTTAATTCCATATCCTCATAAATTACCACGAATACAAACGTGCACGTAGATCAATTATGTAATGAACCCTCAACCAACACTCCGTCAACAACGAACACAACACAACAAGACCAGAAACAAGAAGCAAAAAATGTCCTACCAAGGCGGCACCCCCTCCGAAATGGCCCCAAAGGGCACAAAACGAACGTGAGAGCACCTAGACTCTACAGAATGAGCCCTGGCTCATGGCCTGAGAATGACAAATCACTTTGGCTCGACATAACGCACCTATCCACCATGGAAGTAAACCGAACCAAATGTCGAAGAAATACATAACATATCACATCTCGGTGGATAGATGACACATTGCTATTGGACGGATGCTTTTAGACCTCGACAAATATGCACCGGAGCGGTAATGCTCTCGAAGGAGTGTGACTTTTCCATCCACCTTCACGCAGGATATTTATATACGCATAAAGTTGCAGATCAGCAGGCTGAAGTACCAAGCATCCGGGTTTGCCGAACACCTTGGCCCTTCTCGTATATTCCGGTTGGATATCCCGTGAGGATAAATTGGAGTTCGCTTGGCTTTTACCCCAGGATCGGCGTGGGGCCCCCGCACATACGCCAACCGAGCCAGTTCGCGATAGCACACTAGTTGCTCACGTATGGGCAACTAGAACTTCCTAGCGACCCATGCGCTGGGACGTCCGTCAAGATATTGTTCCTAAGGGTTCTTTGCCACCGGCGGGCCCTGAAATTGATCGTTTACAGTACTTTAGAATCGCTTGTTCGGACAGCATAGTCATAGCCTCAAAGTCAGAGTATATAACCAAGATTCAACACTAGGATTTCTCAGAAGCTATCTGTTTTCCGTCGCTATAAACGACCTTTAGAGTATCCACTTTCACTGAATTATTACCGAGAATATCTACGGCATTTTCTAACGTAAAGGACTGGCTCCACTGGCCTGTAACCGGACATTCCGAGGACTACTCTTTTGAGATATAAATGTGGCAAACATCCATCCTGTTTGACAAAGAAAATTTAGCATTTTAGCCACAATATGTTGCGCAAGATAGCACTTCTATCCTCTCCATCGAGTTTGCTGGTAGCCACTCTTGGTGCTTCGCCACCTCAGGAGCAACCTAACTTTGTCTTTATTATGACAGACGACCAAGATCTCCATCTGAATTCCCTCGATTACATGCCGAAATTAAAGCATCTGATTGCTGATGAGGGGACAGTATTCGAGAAACACTTCTGTACTATTGCAGTTTGCTGCCCGTCACGCGTGAGTTTGATGACGGGCAAGTTGGCTCACAACACAAACGTGACCGACGTGAATCCTCCCTACGGTAATCCGCATGATTGAACGTCCTTAGTTAAAAGTTTTCAACAGGCTGTTCTGATCTATAGTCCAGGTGGATACCCCAAATTTATACAAGAGGGTCATAATGAAGACTACCTCCCAGTGTGGTTGCAGGAGTCTGGCTACAATACCTATTATACTGGGAAATTCCTCAACGCACATACAACTTCCAACTACGACAACCCATTTCCCAAAGGCTGGAATGGAACTGACTATTGGTAATCTTGATTCTTTCTCGAGCAAGCTAGGAATTAACTGTTGCTTCTTCAGTTCTGCTAGACCCGTCCACCTACAGTTACTGGAACTCCACTTTCCAGCGGAATCATGATGTGCCCGTCGCATCTAATGGCTACTCAACTGATCTGATCACTCAAAATTCTCTTCGCTTTATTAAGGAAGCTCACGCGTCTGATCGCCCGTTCTTCATTGGAATAGCACCCATTGCCCCGCATGCAAAGTCCGTGCAGGCGAAGGCAGACGCTATTCCATACTTTCTCAGCCCTGTCCCGGCTGAGCGGCATAAGGAGATGTTCCCTAATGCAAAGGTTCCGCGAGGCGCTAACTTTAATCCCGGAACAGTAAGGCCTTTCTATTCACAAGATGCTCTTGAACATTAAAAAAAGAGTGAGACGATCACTGACTCGAAACAGCCAAGCGGAGCGAGCTGGGTCCACGATCTATCTCGGCTGAATGCGACTGATCTGGACTATATGGACTCGTTTTATCGAGCACGGCTTCAGTCGCTCCAAGCAGTCGATGAGCTCGTGGAAAATGTTATTCTTCAACTAGAGGAGTCCCGCCTCTTAGAAAATACATATATCTTTTACACGTCCGATAATGGATATCACATCGGACAGCATCGGTTGGTCCCTGGCAAGGGCTGTCCTTACGAGGAGGACATTAATATTCCCATGATGATTCGCGGACCAGGAGTACCAAAGGGTAGGAGAGTCAATTTTGTTACCTCCCATACAGATATCGCGCCCACCCTTTTTGACCCTCGCTGGTATTCCACTGCGAGAAAGCTTTGATGGGTTACCAATACCTCTACTTGAGGCCCGTATCGAGCACACGCGCGAGGTCCGAAAACGAGAGCATGTATCGGTCGAATACTGGGGGCAAAACCTACAGGAAGGGGAAATTGGGACCGATTGGACCACAGAAACCCCAGGTCAGGCTGACTTGAATAAGAGATTGCTTTTATATCCCTTTAGGTCTGACGAATAATTTTGCTAGTGATCTACGGAAATAATACCTACAAAGCCATGCGCGTTATTGGTGACTCGTACAACCTATTCTACTCAGTCTGGTGCACAAACGAGCATGAGCTCTATGATCACAAGGTCTAGCCACCACCCTCCGCTCCCCTTCCTACTGGGGAACTGTCGCGACGGGGGCGATATGCTGACAATATCTTAGAATGACCCGTACCAGATGGACAACTTGTTCAGCAGATCAAACGTTACCATATTAGGCCGAGAGCTTGACAAGGTTGTCTCTCGTCTGGATACTCTCTTGCTCGTTCTTAAGAGCTGCAAGGGCGCAGAATGCACTCTTCCCTGGGAAACAATCCACCCGGATAAGACAGTTACTACTCTATCGGAGGCACTCGATTCGAAATACGACGAATTTTATGCTGCCCAGCCTGATATCAGTTTCTCATCCTGTGAACTAGGGTACTTACCCCAAATTTGAAGGCCCACAGGTGGGGTATGCTTATCGACGCGCTGGAGACTGGAATAACTGGTCGTGAGAAGCTCGATGGAATCACAGGCTTTTTCGATCGTTGCTACAAGATACAATTTCGGCTTAAGACATTATGTAAACCATGTGACTTTCTGAGTGCTTTTACAATGTGAAAACACTGGGATACCCGGTCTCCTCGCCACTCTCGGCATAGTTCATCAATGTCGATTTTACTCTCCAACTGCTCCTCGTAGATGTTGCATTTAATGCATTCCATGGGAAGGTGAAGGGAGTTGGGGGAGGGGCAGGGGCGGGGGGGGTTGGTGATGATGTGTATGATATTGGGGTGTTTAGAGTCTGAATCATATTTTGTATAAGTTATGGGGGATATTCTTAGGGTTATACATATTCTCCATATTCCAGTTCCATTTCATCATAAATTACCACGAATACAAAAATCCACTTTAGATCAATTATGTGTAATGAACCCACAATCCCACCGCGAATTGGCATAACCACCCATGTCCCCCAAACACTGATATCATAATCCCATCATCCACCCGCTCCCAGAACAGGGAAACAAGTGACATCACATATGGCGACCAACGTCGACACATAACCCTATATAAACCCATGCCAGCACCAGTTCACAGTATGTTCAATTTCAATTCAGAGAAATAAACCAATCTACTACTGCATCCATCCATTCTATAAATCTTTAACCTCGAAACAACCACCACAAGAAACCACATTTTCCTTCCACAACACTCTCAATCCTCAACCAACAAGAACCAACACAACCAACCAACCAACCAACCAAGAATAAGAAAAAGAAACAAAAATGTCTTCCTCGCACCAAGGCGGCACCCTCTCCGAAATGGCCCCAAAGGGCACAACCATCCCCAACGACGCCGGCAAACAAAACACCATTCCCTCCGTGGCGCGACCCGAACAACGATCCGAGAACCAGCTCTTCGATAACCAGGGTCTCGGCCAGCCGTCTTCTGCCTTCGCGGCTGATAATGAAGCTACTTTGCCCCAGGGGCCGAGCGATCCCGGTATGTCGGGTGAGGTAGTCACCGGGACGGGGAATACGTTGCCCGCGGAGGGAGAGTCGAAGTTTACCCAGATTGGTACGGATAAGCCTGGTGTTAGGGGGGATACGAGGAATTTGAAGCATGGGAAGGTTAAGGGGGGATTGTTGGATGAGGAGTAATTTTTTTTGTTCCTTTTTTCTTTTGGGTTGAAATGGGTTGATTGGGGGATGATGTGTATGAATTGTATGATATTGAGTGTTTAAGAGTACTAAATTATATTTTGTATAAGTTCATGGGTTATGTTCGGGTTCTATCTATGTTCTCTTCTTTGGTTTATACATATGGATGTGTATGTAGCAAGGATTATAAAGCTTAGACTTGTCCGATAAACCCCCTGTAGATCTCATCCAAAACATCCCGTTTCCGTTTCCGATCCGCCTGCTCAGCTTCCTCTGCCTCATCCGGCTCTCCTTCGGGTTCCCTCGATACCCAGGAACGGATTGTCCCGTCTCCATGCGCAGAGAACATCTCCAACCCCTCGCCCGAGGCACCATTGCCACGCCAAACGAGTGAATTGATCCTCGCAGCGCTAAGCGCGCTAGACCGACCCCGGAATTGCTGCTGCCCACCCAAGAGACTAGGAACCTTGAGACGCTTGATGAATGTGCCCTCCCGCATCTCGAACATAAGGATCTCCCCGCGGTCGTCATTCTCACTGAAATTGGCCCATAATAGCGTCTCTTGTCCTGGCCCCATGACGCCTTTCGGGAGGACTAGTGGTGCCCGTTCGGCGAGGTGGGAGGTCACGGCGTTGCGGACTCTGGGACCGAAGTGTGCGAGTGTGTTTGCGCCCGTTGATGCGTCCCATATGCGGATCCGTGCGTCTTGACCTGCTGTTACTACGTGTGAGCCGTTGGATGTCCAACGTACGCCGGTCACGGCGCCGTTGTGTGCACGGGCATGTGGGGAGAATGCGGGCCGACTTTTGTAGTTTGATGGTGCGTTGCGTGGTGGTATTAGGCCTACTGCGTCATCCATGTCTAGGGCAGCGATGGCGGAATTGTGGCCTCCGCGACGGATATCGAATATGATCACTTTGTGGTCTGCCGATGCGGAAGCCAGGATATGTGGCCTGTGGGGGGCCCATGAAACTGATAGTACCGATGAGGAATGACCTGGTAGTCCGTGGGTAGATAAACCCGAGCGTAGATCGAGTAATCGTACTGGTCTCTCGGACGTGCCGACCGCGATGAGGAGAGGTGATGCAGGGTGTGATGACATCGAATGGGCATATGGTGTGCAGTCAAGTTTAAATGTATGGACTGGGGTAATGGCGCTTGGTTCTAAGGCTGATAGTTTGAGCGTACCATCGCGCGAGGTTGTCAGTATGGTCGAGGGGACTGGGTCGAAGGGGTATATCGATACGGAGGTGATGGCGTGCGTATGGGCGTCTTCATGCGATAACTTTGTGACTGAGGCGATGGATCTATGGACATGGCCTAGTTCTGATCCTCTGGTTTCTAGGTCCCACAGGTGAATTGAGGGGTCTGCGCCCCCGGAGATCATACTGGTTTATTCATTTAGTACGGTGGCGAACTATAAGAGCTGAAGCACATACAATCGTCCGTCATATTGATCTATTGCCAACACATTCACCCCGGCCCTGTGGGCATAGAGCTCTTCCTCGGAGCTTAGGTGTACATCTACAGCTGCCGCCGGTTGTCCAGGGTTCTGGCGACTGGAGAAACGAATACCGGGGGATGGTTCGAGGTGGTGCGCGAGACGGCTCGTTTGCGCAACATGGAATGTATGTGGACTGATGGACCCAAGGGTCCTATTCAGAAGATAAGAATTCATTCATCGGAGTCTGACAGCTACGATCGTTGTTTTGCTGAATCGTTTGATAGGCGCTGATCTTATCGTCAAATGCGGGGCGGATAAAAGTTGCACCGAGCATTTGGTTTGGGGTCAAATTGTTGGAGACAATACTTACTATACTGCTCGTCTGCAAGTAACATAGATGTGAGCCTTATAGAGGCTAACGCTGTGCTACAGTTGCTACCGAAGTAGAGCAACGTTGGACTATTGAGAAATCTTGCATAGCCACCGTCTCCTAATGCGTCTATCCAGATGAACTTTTGCACCCAGATCTAGATTTAGGAGCAGGGCGTCTTTAACCGCATTTGGTCTCATATTCCGTGGCACACCACGAGTATAAGAGGAACAATCTATTCGATGTTGTCGTAGACGGCTCACCAGCTCTTCAATAACAGCTCAGTGCAATAAAGTCACCTTGCTGTCCAGGATGAGATATATGAAGTCGTGGGTTGAAGGTCAACCGAATAACGCGTTTGGGAAGATACGACCCCTTAGCCTGCAAACACTTGTTTATGGGCAGACAAACATACCTGCATCTAGGGCTTTGCTCGCTGTGCAGCCAGTTTGCTGTTCATGATTGGGGCAACGGGGCACCGCTTTAAAAAGAGCACGGTTGGCGTTGTTGTCTCTGGGGTTTCTGTATGACAAAGCTTAGCGGCTTATGGAGAGTACTGGAGAGGGATATGGGACTCAATGTTCTACTCATCCTGCCGCGTGAAAATTTTAGCCTTCTTTTTGCCTTCCGAGATTATTATTCCATGGTTGATATAAGTCGTGATTTGAATATTTGGAGCCGTACGGTGAATACGTTCCATGGCCATGGCCAACGTCATGCCCTCAAGTAATATAGCACATTTCGCACAGGTTTCAGCAGAGGACTCAAGCTCACTGGGTCCACAATATACTTTGTAGTCCGTCTCCATCCCCAACAACTCGTTTTTCTTAGCCATTTCTGTCGAATATTTCAAGTCCATACATGTGTTGCAGTCTGGCCAAGGCTCTGATGAAATCCCAATATCCATGGTATTGTTTCTTGTTTAATTCTGTTAGTAGTAGTGCTATTGAAATATGGCTTAAATTCCGATAGGGCACATTGAAACAGCTAGAGGAGGTGACTGGGAACTAGTGGTCCAATGCTGTGCATCCGGTGATAGCGGAGTAGACACCCCACTACAGCGCATCCCCCCTTTCTTTGACCTCAATATATCTAAGATAATATTTCTTACCTAGGCGGACCTTTTTTATCTTGATTTTGTATGTTTTCTAATCACTACTGTGTCAAAGTTGCAATTCATACACCGTGTTCTATCCTTGGTTTATGCATCAAATCTCGAACCTGGAGTCCGGATGGTAAGTCAAACATCAGTAAGCTTAAGCAGTCGTCCACCGATGCCAGGGTAGGGGGAGCATTCAATTACAGAGCAACCGGAAGAGCCAATTAATACTATATGTCGGCGACTCACCATTACTCTCAGCGGATTTGGATATCTCATCCTCTGTGAACCAGCCCAATTTCTTCCCTGGCGTGAACTCCTCACCGGTTGCGTAAAGTGTCACTTATAAGACATGCGATTCCTGGCTGTATACAAAATATCAATAATGATATATAGACAATAAGATCTCGGGGGTTGTAGGGATATATATATTCAGCAGGGAATATATTAATATCTGTACCTTTTTTTTTTTTTTTTTTT